ATATATATATTAATACTCACATATATAATATAATATATTTAAAAAATTATTTTTGAGAAAATAAAATTTGTAACATGCATGTTTACTTTTTGTGTTTTCTCTTTATTATATACGTCAATTAAAAAAATAATAACAGGAAAGACTGAAAAATTTATGTTCTATTTAGAATTTTTATTATAAAATGTTTTAAAATAAATTATCATCTAAAAATTTATATTAGATATTAAAAATATATTTATACCATAAACTTGGTTTTTATATAATTTAAAATATTTATTTTTATATTTTTATTAATCTTAAATTATTATAAAGTAGGTCTTTAAGATTGTAGTTCTAACAAAATATTTAAAAAATATTTATGACAGATAAATAAGTCATATTTAAGACATATATTTAGTTTTAAAAAATAGTTAAGTTCAAATCTACTAAATTATAATATAACTTAATCTAGTTTATTTTCATCCTTAACTGTAATTATAGATATAAAAACTTGTAAAAAATAATTATAATATATATTTATATTTTTAAAAATTATATGTAAAAATTTGAATATTATAAATATATGAATAAATATTAACCTCATTATCTAAAGTTTTTAAATCCACTACCAAATCTAAATACTTGAAACTCGGTTGAAGTATCCATGAGATACAGATAAGTGAAGCAAATGAAAGTATCAAAATCTCAAAACTTACCTGTGACCCTGTTGGCAGAAATCTTCATGGATGGCACTGCAACATCAGCAGGGTGTGTGAAACTATCCCATATTGGTGTTCCACTTCTGTCATCAAGCAGGGTCAGCTTCCCTGAATCATCAAGTTGAGCAGCAGTATTGTTCCCACTAATTGACACATTTGTTGACCATATGACACTATTTTGTCCATTCACAACCACAAGATTCCCATCCTTGTGAATTTTGAACACCCCAGATGAATCATTAAGTGGTTGGTCTCTGTTGGCTACCCATATGGTGTAGGATTCATTGAGATACCATATTGCTACATAGCGAAGTGTGGATTTTTCAGGGCTGAAGAAGCCTAGCTTGAAGTCACCGTTGTTTGAGCTTATTGTGTCAGCGTCTCTGATGAATCTAGTTGATGTGATAGTATCATTCACAGCACTTAGACCCAAATAGAAGGTGGAGAATTTGAGAAAGAAAATCAGCAAGTAATTAATGTGAGATAGAAAACCCATGAAAATCTAATGGTTTTGAATGTGGGTTCTTTGGATGATGGTGGTCTCTTTGTGAATACTAATACTTTGGATTTGATGAAGCTCATTCCATGTTATTGCCACCAAAATTCACGGTGAAGTTGGTGTTGAATTGTGGTGCTATGTACCATCATACTCTCTCATAATCTTTAGTTGACTTTAATAACGCGTTAAGCATGCTAATTAGATGGGGAAAAAAATGGAAATTGAGATGGAGTTTCGTTATATAATTTTTCTTCTTCTAAACACACTTCTTTTTAAGAAAATATTTTATTTTAATTTATTTTTTATTTTTTGATGTTTTATTTTAAACTTCTTTTTTAAAAATAAATAATTTTCTAATCTTTTTAATAAGTAATTTTTATCTGATTCTTCAAGTATTAATTTTTTTAAACCACTTATTTCGAAGCACTTACTTTTAAATTTAAACACATATATCCATTATTTTATTCAGAAGCAAGTCAACTTGTTGTGCCTTGTTAGTAGCTTCTTCCAACAATAACAATTGAACTAAGACTAGAACTCATTATATATAGTTAGTTAGGAGTTTCTTTGGCCTCATGAGATAGCCAATTATTTATTTATTTATTTATTTTTGAAAAAATGAGATAGGAAATTAAATATGGCTCCATATTTTAATATAAATTTGATGAACTAGTTAAGTACTGTTTCCTGTAAGCAATATGTGGAAGCCAAGAGACAATTTTATTATTTGTGCTTACTTTTGAATACACGTAGGGCAAAGGTTTACTTATAAATTTATTAAATTGATTCATTTTGTTTTTCTTGTTTTGACGTGTAGTAAGGAGGATTCCTTACCAGTAAACTTTAGAAGACTAATTCTTTTAGTGAATAATTAAAGATATATAAATTTAATTTGTTTCACTTAACAAAACATTTTTTTATAACATTTTGTAGACACCTATGCTAGTATACACCGTATAGAAGAAAAACATGCACAAAACAAAAATGAGTAATAATGTGACATGAAGAAAGGATAAAGATAAATAGCATTTTTTGATAATGAGGAAAAAATAAAACAAATAGAAAATAAATAAGAAATAAGATATTTTATTTATTTATTTATTTGATTTATAAAAATAAAGTAAATTAAAAAAACTATATCGTGAGATATCATTTGATTTGAGCGGAAAGAAACCGGATAAATTAGATTAATAAGAAAAATACCATTACACCCTTATACACATAGTCAAAGTCAACCACTGACACATGATATGTTGAATTATTGAAACATGTTCAATACTACATATTTAAGAATGAGAATAGAGCTAACTGTGCCGAATATTATTCACTGGTTTAGGGTATAAAATTAGTTCATGCTAGTTGACTCCGGATAAAATATATGAACATTATAAACTAAAATTATTTTTAAAGTAAAATTTGAATATAGTTTTTGCAGTTAGTATTATTTTTTCAATTAAAATTAAAATTTTATCTCAATAATATATATAAATATATATTAAATATGGAAAAGACCTCTCTATAGTATAGCATGCACTTTAGAAGGTAAAGTATAATAATCTTGATTCTTAATTATATAAGTTGTACATATCTTTTTAATTTAATTAAAATTGTCACCTAAATTTATATTTAAAAAGAACATATCATTAACATTAAAAAAAAAAAAAAACAACAATAACAACAAAATTATTTTTCATTTTATTTATTTTTATCATTATTAATCATTATTTTTTATATTCATCGTTCTTTTTGATACTTGACAGATTTTTTGTATAATCTTAAAAGGTTCAATCATACAATAGTAAAAAAAAACATCATTATTTTTAATATTATCTCCATTAACTCAATCATCTAACAAGTGTATAAGTGTATTATTTATTGATCTCTTAAATAAAGAGAAAGTGAAAAGCTTAATAAAAATATAATTAATGGAGCACGGAAAAATTTTATTTTTTTTAATGTTAATGATATTCTTTAAAAAAAAAGTATTAAATTTATGTGACAAGTTTAATTAAACTAAAAATAATCCAAACTGTTTACATAATCAAGAGTCAAAATTGTTACATTTTATTCTCTAAATTACAAGTTGCACAGAGGAGTCTTTTCCTAAATTTTACCGTCAAATAAATATCTTGTTTACCTTGAAAGTATTTCTTAATTATCATAAAATTTCAAATCCGATGGTCACAATAGATACTTTTTGAAAATTTGAAATAAATCATGGCATTTTTTATGAAGTTAAATAATTTTCTGGTAGAGTTGAATAGAAGAAGTTGCAGTCAACGAGTGACAGCAAAATATGAAGTCGGTGTGATCAATGATTTGTTTGTGGAATTTTGAAGTTTAGCCAAGCACGTCACGTCTTTCAGAAGCATCCTATAATATTAATAAGAAAATTATCTTGTTTGATCTACATATTTATTATAAAAAAAAATAAATTATTTTGTTTGTTAAAGAAAAATGAGTACTGTCTATATTATTAATAAAAAATTATCATATTTTACATGCATATTTTTTTAATTACTTTGTTATTGTAACTATCTTTTCAACTACACTTTCTCTCTACAGTATTCTTAAAAAAATTATTTCATTTTTTTTTTATATTTTTAAATTACACAGAGATATGAAATGTCTTTTTACGCTAATTATTAATAAAATTGATATTAATTTATAGTAATTATTTTTTATTTATTTTTATCTGATAAATTTACCCCTCTTTTTATATCTTAATTTTTATTTTTAACTAATTCATAAATAATTATTTTAATTCTTAAATCATCCAAAATTTTTGGAATTCTTCAATTATTAATTAACCAGATATTTATGTTTAGTTTCAATTTTTTATTTTTTATTTTTAAATAAAATACACAATGACACATTATTTTTTTTATGCTAGTACTAGAGATGAATGTCTAGTTGGTTCCATCAAGACGATGTGTTATATTAAAATAAGATTAAAAAATTATTAAAATATAGAAGATGAAAAATGAATTTTCCTCTTTTACTTTCAATAATAACATTTAAACAATAAACTTTTTAAATATACATATAAAAATTATAATATATATAATTTAATAAAATAAAATAAAATTACATATTAGTATTAATAATATATTATTGTTGTTGTTTCGGCTCCCTTGAAAACAACGTGCCTAAGGTGATTAGGTGAGTGTCCACCTTGATGTTCATAGATTTCAGTCATTCGGAGGTTTCGATGGTTGACAAGAATAAATTGTTGATGAATAGTGGTTGACTCTATTAGAATAGACTAAAACACTATAAAAGAAAAAGGTATTTCTTGAAAAATATAAAATAAATTAATGCTTTTAAAACAAGAAGTTGGTAGTTATTATTTTTAGGAAGGATAATTATTTTTTTATATATATTTTATTTTATCCTTAAATATTAATTAGTGAAAAAAATAAAATACAACACAAAAATATAATTATTTTTAAAAATAGACATTAAAACAAGATATTTCCTTTATATATTATTAATAGGGTTGAGATATTTCATATTTTTATATTTTATTTAATAAAAATATTTAAAAATTATCAATATTTGTTAGGTTATGTTACATTTAGTTTTTAAATATTAAAATTTTATATTCGAATTTTTTATTTATAAAAATAATTAATTTTTAATATTATTTTTTATTATTAAAAAATTTAAGTGTAAGATCTACTAAAAAAATATATATATCAAATCAAACCATCATCTTTAATTATATTTAGATTATAGATGATAAATCATAAATTAAAACTTAATCTTTATTAAAAGAAATATTTATAATTAATGTCTGGTTGCATCCCAAATATATATATATAAAAAGCATAAACAAAAAATGATATTTCATCGTAAATTTTTTTGGTTTATAATAAATATTATTCTAGATATGTTACCCATGTTAAAAAATCAATAAATAACTAAATAAATAATAGTAGTTTTATAGAGTTAATCTTATTTTTTTTTTAAAAATCCAATGCATCACAATATCAATATTTTAAATAATATTATTTAAATATAAATAAAATATTAATTAATATTATATTAAAAATTAAAATAAAACATTCTGATATGTATTTATTTTTTCTTTTTACATGATCTTGATAAATATCATCAATTCTAAATATTAATTTAAATATTATATTTATCACATGAACCAATCATATTTTTTTTATATATTAGATTAATTTAAATATTTCATAACTTAATTCTTACATGTGTGGATTCTCGATTTAGCTCTTATATGTAAAATAAATATTAAATTCATCTCTATACATGTAACCATTACTTATTTAATTATTATCATCATATATTAACCATTAAACTTTTTAGACATTATTAATTTAATCCTTATAAATAAATATAGCTCATTTCTTAATTTAATTTTTATATATATTAAACATTCTTGATTTAGAATTTATATGGAGAGATCAAACTAAGAATATATTATCGTTAAACAGATTATAGATTAAATTAAAAATATTTTACATGTATAAAATCAAATTAAAAATATAAAAAGAGATTAAATTGGTCAAACATTTATACAATAACTATTTTATATCAGAATAACATCACAAAAACTGGGTCATCACCAGCAAAACCCTCCATCAACCAACTCAAGCTATCCTACTAATCATGCAATACTCTCATACCAAGTATGATCATTGTAATTTCAACCACAAGAAAAAAAATGATAAACTTGTGAAAGAAACAACATAGCAATAACATAAATGTACAACTTATACAACACATCCAACTTACCATCAATAGTTACAACATTCCATAATCATATACAACTTACATCATGAACAATATCTTCAACATACACAACTTCCAATCACAACATAAACAACTAATGCATCATCGTGTATATCAACATAAGCATATCTCCTGTGACAGAGGTGAGTTGTCTAAGTGATTCGGTCCTATCGAAACACTACTTTTGATCTATCATAGCCAGATCAAGTAGATACAACATCAGGCCTCTCAAAGTTTTAAGTATACAACTTAAATTGATTTCATAGGTTTTGCTACTTAAGCTAAGAAAGTTTAATACTATTGTTAGGGTAAAATAACTTTGGTGTGAGCCTATCACAATCTTAACATGCATGTCTAAGCCTCATATGAGA